AAGTCTGTTCTAGCAATGAGGGCCACTAGTTCACCATCTCCATTAATAATTGGCAATTTACCTTTCTTGCTCTTTTCCAGGATGTAGTTGGCGTCTTGTAAAGTTACACCAGACTGAGCAGTTATCATATCATGAATGGGTGTCATTACTTCCTTGAGACTTAATTGTGGGTCATTTTCCCTGAAGTCAATATCTCTAGACGTTACTATACCAATCAGGCGTCCTCCCAGCTTGCCATTTTCAGTGATAGGGTAGCCAGTGAAACCATTTTTCTTCTTAGCTTCGAGAACATCAGCCACAATATTTTCAGGGCCCATGCAAACAGGATCCCTGATGAAGCCATGCTTGTACTTCTTCACTTTGTGCACTTCATTAGCTTGATATTCTGGAGTGCAGTTATGGTGGATGATGCCGATACCACCGCAGAGAGCCATGGCTATAGCCATGTCCGCTTCAGTCACGGTATCCATAGGCGCAGAAACTAGCGGTGATTTCAGGTTAATTTTTTTCGTAAGGGGAGATGTCAGATCTACTTCATCAGCGGTGAAATCTATGTATCCGGGTAGTAACAGGAAATCATTGTAAGTCAAACCCTCGCGGTTCTCGAAGATCTCTGCTGCGGAGAGCCCGTCACGAAGATCAACATCGCCTTTGTTGGACATTTTTATTGGCACGTTGGAGTTATAGGATGTGGAGCGTATGTATAACTACGAGTATGTGACACTGTATATTATGTGCCACTCACTTATAGGAAACTTGAAGCTTGATATATGATCCAAGTATGTGTTGTAGAACAAAATCGCACACGTGGTGTTTGTTTTAACTCTTGAAAGTTGTTTTTAAGTTAAATAATAACCTCCATGTGAGAAATTTCTTCTCTCTGTACACTCGGCGTGGTAAATGGTAAATTCTCAAAAATATAATTTCGGAAATATAGTAAAATATTTTACAAAAAGAGATACGCCGGCTACCCCACGTTCTAATAAAATGACACTGACAAATTTAAACGAGTGTTGCCACCATATTTATACAAACATTGGGGATGTCAGCCTAAATGTCAAAACTGTACTGTTTGATTGAAATATGAATAGTTTCAAGAATATTTACATATACTCGGAATTTTAATTCCATTCCAGATTTGACAATTTCAGTGTTGCAACGTTATGACACGAAATAAATAGTGACGTTGCGAAATTATTCGATATGGAAATCGAATATTTATGAATCGATTCCTCTCGTTTATAAATTTACTCTCGTAAACTAAGTTTATCAGGAAATAAAATATTTCTGAACCGATAATTTAGTTTTGACAATTAATTAACGATCTGAGACTTTTCTTTTGTAATTTTGTGTGAAATTAATAAAAAATGCGATCATGAAGGAACGTGACAAATAAAACAGTCATTTTATAAATTGTCGCCGTCATCGCTATCGCTATCGCCGTTACTCTATGACATTTATTATGAATTGTGTCTTTGATATTTATTGTCAATTAACATATCTAGCTTACTAATTTTTTCCTCCTCTTTGAAAACATGGGATACACATTTAGACCATTCGGTAGCCGTAATTTTTTAAATGCCTTCCTGAAACTGATTCACTGATTGTTTATCGATTTTTGTGTTCATCACTACACTGTTATATGTGGTATCATTATTTCACAAAATGACAGTGGTCAATGTTAAATCAGGAATCGAATTAAAAGTCTGACTATAGTTCTTTCTATTATTTTTATATGGTATTTCAATATATTAACCAATAAAAATTAAGTGTATAGTAAAGGGGTGACAATAAATCTTCGTCCACTATATTAATGTTTAACTACCAGTAAATAAAATAAAAATGCCTTTTATTCGACTGTTACAATGTACCTACAGAAAAAAGAACAAAAGTAACGCAACGCTAGTAACGCTATATGCCCATAAATTTGTCCCCTCCGTTAATCATACTCGCACTAAGTAAATTAAAAAATATTTCTGACGTTACACAGGTACCTAATTAATTAAAAGACATAAATAGGCATGATAGTCCTGTAGTAACTTCATGCCTTTTTGGTCAAGCTCGAGGCACTATCCGGTATTCTATTAGTAGCTTCATAGCACGTAATTATGCACCGTTCAAGGAGTTTATCAGCTTCTGCTTTGTTTGAATTAGGATTGGAAGAAATAAAGATAGTGAAGATGAGAAGAACTAAACTCATTGATGAAGTGGTTTCATGTGGAATTATTGAGCAAAGGGTCTCGGGAACTATTCGAGTACAGTATTATTGCGATTTTAATTTTCAGAAAAAAAATACAAAAAAAAATTTCGACAAACGAGCAGTCGTATTACCTGCTGATGGTAAGCAATCGGCGGCGCCTATGGACACCCGCAACAGAGTAGATAACCGGTGCATGAGAAGAGGAAGGGACAGATTGGGACTCCAGTAACCTCACTCATACGGTGAACAACTCAACACAACGCTGTCATTGTTTCACGCCAGTTTTCTGCGAAGCCGTGGTATCACTCCGGTCGAACCGATCCATTCGTGCCAAAGCTTGCCTCACTACTTGTGATCAATGCTTGCAGATTAAGAACAGGTAGGAACTTTTGAGACGTCAAGGAATTGATACATCTAACTGTCCGTAAGTTAGGTGTTTGTAACATACTGTATGCGTACCTATGTACCTCTGGTCACCCATTTGGGAATAAAAGGCGTGGCGATACATAAAACAATCATCGTATACTTAGTATAATAAGTACCTATCTTTCAAAAACTAGACACAACCCTCTTGAAGAACTAAGACCTATTTACCTTCAGAGCCACGTCGATAAACTTTTTTCCAGTCATTATGAATCGTCTCGCACGAAGACTCGATGAGCTTTAGCCCTGAACACGCTGGGTTCCGATGATATGGCATCGTGGACCACATACATACAATGAGACAGTTTGCACAGAAAAGTGAAGAGTAAAAGCATCATAAGAGTATCTGCCCTTATGGCTGACGTTTGTTGACAACGAAAAAGCTTATGACTCCTCTGCTCTGTTATAGAATTCTTGCAACGTGGCACCGTTGTGGCAAAGTGGACTGGCGGTATGTCTAAGTGTAGAGCTGTATACATAATAGGTACTGCAACTATGGTCGTTCAAGTAGGTACAGAACCAGCAGTCCGACTCTATCCAGGTGCATCGGGGGTAAATTCTATTTCCCCGAAATTGTTCACTTGCTTCTTTGGGGGATATATTCAAAACTCTGTGTCGGAAAGGACAGGGTGTTAATGTTAACGGCAAGCTACTATCACGGCGAGTAAGGGTAGTTCGCCGCCCGACCAGAACCAGACCCGAGCGAACGGCGCGTAGCGTTCCGTGCGCGCCTCAAAGAGCCAATAGACCGCCACAGACGGGGCCCAATAGGGCAGATGGTCAGCCGGGGTTGCGGGGTCAGCGCAATGAGGCTACTCGACCACGGCCCAGAGCAGGAGAACGGGGAGAAGGAACGGGGGTTTTTAGTCAGTAAGAGTCTGACACTCTCTCTCACCTTACCCTGGGCGGGAGAAGTCATTGGATGATTTCCCCTGACAAAAAAAAGAAGCTACTGTCAAATTTGAGATTTACAGAGTGTATCTTTCAACTTTTCATCGTGGCTTTTTTTTTGGTGTGGGGAAAATCATCAAATGGCTTCTCCCACTCAGACTCGTACTGACTAAACTCCCCTGTTCCTGTTCATTGCTCTGGACCGAGGCGGTGCCACTTTGCGCTTGCCCCGCAACCCCGGCTGAACATCAGCCCTGTGGGGCCCAGTCTGTCTGTAGTGGTCTATTGGCTCTTTCATCGTGGCTGTCTTTTCTGCTTGCATGAGTAAGGAACTTAGAAAAAAACAAAGGTCATGTTCAATGAACATGTTCTTCCGGAGACTATTACCTCATTACTATTATCTACGTGGGACAAACCATACAGTTTGGTAAAAACAACTTCGATGAGGAGGCTTGTAGAAGGATAAGGCCTGGCTGCTAGGGATATAATAAGGCTGGTGCTAAATGCCATTTTGTAGCTTTGGTCTCGGTGGAGAGGCGTACTAAAAGACTGATTGGTGATAAAGAATTGGCTAAAACCAATGTCGGAAAACTGTGAATTTAATGAAAGTACATTTTAAAACTTCTTTAAGTTAATACTATTTAAAATAAAGATTAAGGGAAAAAAATCAAATATGCATGTACCTACGATAAAGTATGAGTGCGCAAGCGTGCGCTCGTGTATGTGTGTGAGTGTGTAAAAGGAAAAGGAGAAGAAAGATGTAACAGAGTTCAAAAACTTTCTAAGTATTTTATTTTACTCAGGCTTTATCAATTAATGATATATTACAAACCAATACTAACAAATGAGACTATTGGGCATACAATAGCAAAATCACTAACCTATCTCAATCCTATCTTTCAAAAATACTAGTCCGAATCATAGAACACATAAGTTAAAAAAATATTGATATTTCTTTCCAACCTGGCCAAAAACCGTGCAATCCATTTTTTCATATTGGTAGTCTAAACTCCGGATCACACAGAACTGTTCCGTGCGGGGGTTGAATCCGCGCCACAATAAGTTACGTAACAGCCGGTTGCTCAGCCACTGCACCAACCGAGCAGTCTTCCGTGTCGTCTTCTTGCAAATAAAATGAAATAACAGGTCTACTTATGTAGTTAATCTAGTCCTAAGCGTCAGAAGTATGGCCAAGAAAATATGGCTCTTATGACTATGAAATAAAATAGATTTTAAATGTCACCAACAAGGAGGGGCGAACTATAACTTCGTCATGCCATTTAACACCATCCTACTGACGTCTGAGGTTTTTTTATTAAATTAGAAAGTTGATCAACGGTACCTTTTACTTCGGGTATTTCCGATTACTTAAATGGAAAGCAGAAATAGAAGTATTTTAAATAAAAAACAAATAAACAGGGTACAAACAACCTTTTAATATTAACGTAGATTTCTACCTACATTTAAGTTAATTTTATTTTGTTTTCACCGTCAAAAGAACATTCTTTTGATTCATTACTTGCTGCAATCAAAAAATTATTTACATGCTAAAGTACCTGTAACAAATGGTACCTACTTACATAATTATCACGAATTTATTGAGTAATTACACTTTAATACTGTGTGTTAGGACTTAGGTGGGCTGGAGTGTTTCTCACGCGGACACTTCCATCTTCTCCATTCACGTGTCGGAGTTCAATCAGTCTGCCTTCACGCACTGCCCGTTAACTTTAGCGTAACCCTCGGGACACTGGTCACCATTAAAAGATGATCGTTCATCCAAACTCACTTTAGGAAGGATTGCAATATCTAGCATATAATTTTTATCCACATTTACTGGTTTCACAGCTGACACATTTTCACTTTGTGGTGTATAAGGTTGAAAAGGTTTCACAGCATTTTCTGAAGTCCTGTTCTTGTCAAGGTTGAAGTCTTCGTAAACATCGTTACTCAAATATTCTTTTTTATTTATTGTGTTATTCAGCGGATCATTTTCGTCTAAAGGTCGATTCATCTTGTCTGGTAATTTGGATGAAACAAACAACTTCCGTTTTGGTTGGTTCTCTCTCACGGTCGACAGCAGAAGGTTAAGGTTGCCACTTGCTTCAACTTTTTGCGTAAAGTCAGGATTGCGATCAGCTGGTCGAGGTGGATTCGTGTAGAGTCGCGTCGGTGGTGGCGCAGTCCGAGTCCCGATGTATTCCTGTACGGAAACCGGTCTGTTACTATACACGGGCACTGTTGAAGGCCGTACGTACAAAACTGGCGGCACGGCTGCGACTGCCCCTTGCCCGTGGATTTTTCCTACTGCTAACAACGCGAATACAATGACTAATTCACTCATGTCACTCATGACTGGAAAACTTAACACTATGAGGGGATTTTCTCTAAAACAGCAGATTCACTTTTAATTTTAAGCTGACAAACAATAAATAGTGTGTTCGTTGGGAAACAGCTGGAGACGTAATAAATGTTTGTTGTTCATTTGGCTTCACGCTTTTTGCACTTAAGGCCAAGACAAAATGTTAATTATGGTTTCGTGAACGGATGTGTATACACACGGAAAATCCAGTCTACCGCCTCATCTGTCGAAGTGACGAGACGCATCCATGATAAGAATTTGTTATGATGCTATTATTTTAATAATAAGTATTTATGCAGTTTGTACCTACTTACGTGTATTGTGTTACAAATAATAGGTAGGTATAAACCCCACCAATTATTTTATGTTTCCTCAATAGCAGTACGATAAATAATGTAGCTACAGATATTTTAAGTAGCTACAGAAAATAAAATTAAATTCTCATAATTTGTAGTGTGTTCTACTAAAGTGTGGTGTACATAGGTACCTACCAAGCCAATAAAATATTGATTATCTTTTGAATATTTTACTCATCAACCATAATAGGATAATTAAATATTTAACAACTTGAGACAGGTAAATGAAACTGATACTGTAAATAATATAATATTTTGTGTACACTGTTAGTATTCTCCTTAAAGGTCAATCACGGATTTATTTATAGACGGACAAGATATAGCTACGGCGATTGTCTTCGTGATAATTACCTACTTTGACGGTGGAATACATAAGGTAGTAAAAACAAACATCTAGTAATAACAAGGTTAATTCCATTCAAAAATTGGTGTACTATAATATAGGTACATGTTTCTGTTTCATTAGCGCGTAACAATTTCAAACTTTTTGACAGAATACGGATGTTGTTTTGACGTCACCAATAATTTTTATTATTTTGAATTTAGAATTTTATTATAATACTAATGTATTAAAAACAAGTTTTTAAAGTAATTAACATTTTTTTTTATTTTAAAATACACTTTGACTTAGATCTAGAGACTACTTATTTATATGTTTACGGGTTTTTTATCCTTACATCTAAAGGCAGATCTTCGTCTTCATCGGTTGGTTTACTGTTATCTGTTTCTCTTTTGGGGGCATTGACTTGTATTTTGTCACCGCCGTAAACATAGTCATTGGGTCCGAGTGGCACAAATAGAGGATACTCATCATCTTTTATAGGTTTTTTCGTAGACAGTTCTGGGCTATTTTCATCCAAATTACCGCCATTGTTATTTGGTTTCTGGCTGTTATATCCATAACTGGAGCTTGTGGGGGCTTTTGTGGTACTCTCAAAAGGCTTGTTTACCTCAGGTTTGTAACTATGATCCTGATATCCTCCTTGGTTTGGTTTGTCAAAAGCTGGTCGATTGTTGTATCCATTATTTTGATTAGGCTTTCCGAATTCATTGTTGAAGTTGCCGTTTTGGTTGCCAGGATTACCAAATTGGTTGTTGAAGTTACCGTTTTGGTTGTTGGGATATTCATTTTGATTGTTGGTATTGCCATAGTTGTTATTGTTGTTTCCGTACTGGGTGTTTGGAGATCCATACGGTCTGTTTGGTTTTCCGTACTGACTGTTCTGGTTTCCATATTGATTATTTGGTTTATTATGAAAGTTGCCGTCATTGTCATGGTCTTCGGTTCCGTGCTGATTGGGTGGTTTATTGTATGGGTTATTCTGGTTGCCATACTGACTAGGGTTGCCGTACTGGTTGTTGGGTTTGCCATACTGATTAGGGTTCCCGTATTGGTTGTTGGGCTTTCCATACTGGTTGTCAGGATTGTCATATTGCTGGTTGGGCTTTCCATGTTGGTTATTAGGATTCTCATATTGGTTGTTTGGTTTTCCATATTGGTTACCAGGGTTTCCATATTGATTACCGGGGTTTCCATATTGGTTATTATGATTCCAGTTGCCGTTTTGGTTGTAATTCTGACCTTGGTTGCCGTAGCCATAATGTCCTTGCTGCTGATGGTGTCCAGGTTTAGGCGAAGGACGATTGTCGTATACTGGAGGATCGTACCCGTTTTGAGTGGGCCGTCCATACCCCGGGCCAGGTGGGCCGTCGTCGGGCCCATCTTCCACCACGACTACAACGGTCTCAGGTTTCTCATGTCTGTGCGGTGGCTTGTGATGATGGTGCAGAACTTGAGAAACTCCTCCCAAAATGGCATCAGCAACGCCATGTGCAGCACCATGAATTTGAGAATTTACTTCTATGGCTCCTCCCAAAAAACCTTTTAACAAACCCGCTCTACACTGAACGTTGAGAACAGTTACAACAAACACTAGTAAATAGAACTTCATTTTTTATTGTTTAATTAATAAAACGCGAGGAGCAGATGCGCTCGTCCCAGGCAGACTAAGTGCGATGTTCGCGTACGACGTGTGCACAACTAAGTCATCGTCGGACGTCGTCATCCTCATTATAAGGTTGCTATTCTCTTGTAAACCTGTTCTCGCAGACAAGTTTATTCGAAAAATTATTCAAAAGTGAGACATCCCCTTCAAGATGTTTGTCTCCATAACACTACGGTAGATTGCAATCAGCCAGTAGTAACTTGTCCTTATTTTAACGCAAACAATGAATTATTTTTTCGGTTCTTTTGTGCGCTTCTTAAGGCATTTAATTACCATTTTTTTTAATCGCACTCAATTTATTCAAACATTGGCATTTAATTAATACACTGCATTAAAATTCTATGATCGTTTATATGGTTATTTTATTATCTTTATCTTTGCGAGGATCTATATCGTATTCGTAATCTTGTTCATTGTTTTCATTATTTGATGATTTAGAGTGCTTTTTAGGTCGCTGGGTGGTTGTTCCGTGAAGTATTGACGCGATACCTTGGTCATAAATATGTTTGTTATTCACAGGCGACTTCGAAAAACTCGTTCCACTGTGGACACTCGGTTTACCTTGGTTTTGTATCGGAGGTCGCTTCTTGATCGACACACCGTAAGGTTGAAACGACCGGAACATATCTTGATTCATATTGGGCAACGTCAAACCATTTTCCCCATCTGTTTTCAAACCCATAAATGGAAAGAAATTTGACGAGAAAATTTTCTGCATGCCACTAAAAATCTTTTTAAACATGGAGTCGGCTGGATTGTCGAAGTTGAATTTGGTTGATGGATGCAAGAAGGGTAAGTCTGTAGTTTCTGGCCATAACCTTCCGAGTGGGGTTGCAGTAGATGGTGGTTTTTGAGGTTCCGAAGCTTGAGGAAGCTCCGTAGACACCTTCTTAATAACGTCTAGTACATCATCGATAGGTCCTAAGCCTGGGGCTTCCGTAGATACTTTTTTAATAATATCCAACACATCATCAATAGATCCTAAGTCTGGATGGATTAGTTTACTGCACAGAACACAAGATATTACTGTACACACCAATATTACACGAATAAACATTTCTACACTCATAACGCATCCGCGTCAAGGGAATTAGAATTTCTTACTGACTGCATTATAGCACATTTAATTAAAACGTAATTATTAATTACTTTATTAATAAACCCATTAAGTTAACGACTAGTTCTAGATTAGTTTTACGAAGTTTACGCTGGTAAATAAGTTTTAGGGTATTTCCATAAACAGAATATTAAATTAGGTAAATTTTAATGTAGAAACGACAGAAAAATAAAAGCTCGAATCTGGTTTCTCGAATTAATAAAATAGTTGAGAACTTATTAATATTAATATCACGTTTTATATGTTAAGTCAAACAAAACGTGAATAATGTGTTTGTGTTGTACAAATATATTGTCTATAGAAATTTTTTTGGAATTCCACATATGTCCTATATATACTTATTTATATGTATTTTTTGTTTCATATTACATACAAATGTTTCACCATATAATACTCTGTTTGACCGTTGGATACTTGAGCAGTTTTCCTTAAAGGATGAGTTGACACGTGCAACAGGAATGCAGTGTTCAAGTTCAAATCAACACAAAAAAAAACCTAGATTTCTACATCTTCAAACAGGTCCATATTAGGCGTAGTTTAGTATTTATATTTTCCTCATTTTGTCTTCTTTTATAGACGGCCATATTGGTGTAAATAAAACAAATAAACTTTTAGTTAAACTGTATTAATTAACAAGATTTTTAGAATGTGAAGATAAAGTTAACAGAATGTATATATTGTAATTAATTTAATCTTATTTTGCATTAAAAACAATATAAGAGAAAACTGTTAAAATTAAGAACCTATATTAAAATTATGTCGTGAAATAAAATTTTAAATTACCTATATTCAAATTAACACCAAATAAATCCTTATGTCCACAAATATGGTGATCGAGATTCAATCAATTACAATATACTAGTTAAATAGAATATAATAAAGTATAAATAACGTGTTAAGTAAAAGTTAGTAAATGAAGTGGAAACAATTACTACATAGTAGGTACATAAGACATAGCAACAGCAATTTAAGTACCCGTACAAAACAATTACATAATATACATTTGGTTTTAAATATCCGTTTAGAAGTTGTAGCACGCATCAAATTACTTCGCTGCTGAGAATCAAACTGAGATTTTATATAAAGATAACAAATAAATCAACTATTATTTCCGCAATGATTTAAATTTTGTGGACTTAGTCAATGCTTAAGGCATTAACTCGTTTTAAATAAATCAAAGCAAATAATTAAATTATTTATTTAAGGTGTGTATCCAGTTTGTTATAACGATATTTTTTTCACTAGTATATGAAACAAATACTAGTGAAAAAACAAAGTTTTCTTAGTATAACAGTAGCAGAGTATTTGAAGCGTGCTTTAACATCAACGCCAGTATGGCAGCTATAAAATGACTGGTGACACACTGTTCAGAGTCAAATTCCTCGGAAATATAAATCAGAATACATTTGCAAATAAACACTTGCGGTTTTGTCTTGATAGCAAAATGGCAAGTCTATTTTTGCTATGAGTTTTATTTGCTTTATCCATCGATTCGTAAAATACTTAGAGAAGTTGATCGAATATTGTGTTTATTTGCAATGCCTCATCGCTTGGTTATGAATGAGACTATTAGTGTATGGATGTATGAGCTTATATTGATTATTTACCAAAACTTTAGCTCAAATGGATGTTATGAAGATAGATGTAGTTATCGAATTTCGTTTTGCCTCACTGGGTGATGTGGTTCATAAGAAACAAAGCCGTTTAAAGAGATTGAACTATGCTGACTGACGTTAGCGGAGGTTTTTGTAGGCAGTTAAAGATTGGTCATTTGTCAAATTTTAAAAAAGAATACATACCAAATAGTTTGTCTGTGAAACTTAGAATCTGTCAATTTGAATTTGATAGTATTTTTTTTTGAAATATTACTTTTTTCTTTTTCAAATACTTCTAAAAGTATTATTTACAATAATAATAATTATGTCTGTACAATTGTATCCTATCAAAGGACAGCTAATTTTTTTCATATGTAATTTAAGTCATTACAAGGAGAACGATCAGGTTACAAAAATAAAAGTTACACATTGTAACCACGTTGTTTACAACTATAAACATTGAATTATTTATTTAGCATCTCTTGGATCACGTTTTTGCATACATTATCTTTTAAATACATGTAGCACACATGCATTTAAATAGAGTATGAAATAGCTTGTTGCATTCTTGATTTTTTTACATGAATTTCTTGATGTTAAGTAGATATCTTGTAGTGTACTGAATAGAATTTTAACCAGACCTTGCAATAATATTTTTTTATGTTTTAGGCACAAACATACAATCTGGACTTTTGCTGGGCGTTTTATAGTGTTAGAGGTAGGTAGGTAGAGGACAGACAGATGGACACTACGGGAACGCAAGATTTATAATCATCATGATCCAATCCTGACTGAAACTTTCTCATATAGAGAAAGAATAAGAATTGATCACCAGGCCTACCTGATATGATATGGTAATTTCAAACTTATAATAAAAAATAATATGGTCAGGTTTTGACTGTTTCGTAACATGCAGTAAATATTTATTTATATCTGTGTGATCCTCGAATTGTTTTCCAAGTCTTGTGTGATGTATATTTAATATGTATTGTATGTTTGAATATGAAATTGTATATTTGTCAACGTACCTACGACACAGGAGAGAATCCTAATGTGGGGCAAGGATTTAAAAAGAAATTGGTTGCAACTAATTTTCGTTTTATGTAGATGCAAAATATTAATATATGGTATGGTAAGGTAATGGTATATAAAGAATAGAATTTGAAGTGTGTCACCAGCCATTAAAAACAATATAGATACCATATGCAATAACTTTGGACAAACATTTTTATAACTCATCAATAAAATATGAACGAATAACTTAATCATATTTTTAAATGTTGTTAAATTACATTCATTATATTATTATATACAATCTTAAAAAGTAATAAGGCACATTGATTTTAAGTATAATTGATTACACGGTTTTTGGTGATCTAAGTACAATAGTTATATAGTCTATGTTCTTCAAATATTGTTTGTTTTATATTATTTTATTATGTTTAAACAACCAAGGATTTTAGTCACGTATTTCAATGTTTGCATCATCATTCCTCGTAACTGTACTGACTAGGTTTTTCCGTAGTTGTTTTAAATAATTATAGAACGATACGCCATGATTCAAACTGACCAATTAGTATGCGGCGTGTATGCCGATTTATACCAACGAACTACATATACATATGTTCATTGACAATTTTCTCATTATTCGCCAAAGGAATTCGTAATTGAAATCATTCGATTCACGTACTGACATTGTGTACTCATAACTGTCAATGTGTGTGTGTGTTATTAAAACAGTAATAATCGCATTGTTTGTCTCAGAAAAAATAACTTCGCAAGCAATTGTAAATGAATGGGTGAAGGTTACAAATTATGCTGGTGTACTAATTATAAAATTACGTGAAATGTTACTTGATATACGATAACTCGCTTTGTGTCAGTGATAAGCCTATTAAATCTGTTTTAACACTGGGATAGAACATTTAATTATACAATGACTACGTTAAACTCGCAATTCCAAATGGCTCTTCGTTAAACAATAAGGTTCTCGCCTCCCATTAGATGCGCTAGCTACCTGCGATTCCATAACAAAATAGTATAGCACCATCTTACATTAGTCACTGCCGAGCTGCTGGCCCGGCTCTCTTGATATAAATTCGGTCACAGTTTCTACTTCACTATAATTAGACACGAACATTAACTCTGTATAATAATCGATTGTCGTAATCGATGAACACATTATCTAAGTCTACATCGAGATTGCACTTTGTCACTGTATTTTCAGTCCCGGATTTGACAAGTTGGTTGTTTATATGCTGACGTTGTCACTGATGGTGGAGATCGGGGCTCGTTTGGCGAGCGAGGGGTGCACGGGGCAGGGGGCGGGGGCAGGCGTCCGTGGCTGGGGGCGGGGCCTAGGTGCGCCCCGCCCCGTGCCCCCTCGCGCCGACTTATCGAACACTTTCCGGTTCTTAGCGTTGGCCGGCGCAGCCCGCCGTCAGTCTATCACGTGCTTTATTTTCACATACAGCACGCACGAGAACAGGAACCCGAATATAGGGATCACTGCCATCCCCACCCCCACCGCTGCCAATATGATCAGGTGGTCCCGTATGTGGTTCGTGAACTGTCGTATGCAACCCTGGAATTGTGATACAAATCGATTATTGGTTTATCATTTCAAATATACACATAATTTTAATGGCGATATGAACAATCGTTCAATTTTAATAAAGAGATTGTGAAATTGTACTCATTGCTATCTGGGTTAGAGAAATTTCACATGGCTATTAAATAACCTAAATTAAAATTAAAACTTATATCCTTTTCAATAAGTGTGAAAATTGTGTATCTACGAGACATAATACTAACATGATAGTATATGTTGGAGGGATGGTCCCTGGCGCCGCAGCGGTTGGAGGGAGTCTTGCAGCAGGAGTCGGGCACCAGCAGGCGCGGGTCGTGCTCGTGCCACGGGCTGTGGCGCCAGTCCGAGTAACGCACTGCCCCGCAACACTTGAACTGAGGACATACAAACATTGCTTTTGCATTTTCTTAATATATAAAAATAGATCGCAAAATGTGTTGGTAAGCGCATAACTCAACAACGCCTGTAGCAATTTTGCTAATTCTTTTTTTGTTGTGTTTGTTATTGTCAGGAGAAGGTTCTTATCAAAGAAAATAGGAGGGAAGATTAGGAAAAAGTGATCCTTTGATAGCGAAATAGTTGGACCCTTGCGAAGCAGGGGCGGGCCGCTAGTTGTTTAATAAAAACATAACCCAGCACAAGGATCTTTTTCTGTGTCGTGGGAGCGTTTACAAACATACAATTTCACATACACATCACAACGAGACCCGAAACAACAATTTGTGGTTCGCACAAAGAGTTGTTAGGCTAGGCTTTTAAGACATTGAACAATGTTAAAAAGTCTTAAAAGTAACTTTATTGGATTATTTGAAGCTTGGCTTCCATAAAGCTAGTTTAATCCCCTTATTTTCGAATTATGACTTTATGCATACGTTCTGAATAAGGTAAACAGCATTTGAACATTTAAAAACCAAATCAAAGTATCATAGACGATGAGTTTTTTTTAAACAGTTTTTATTTCTATTCGCTTAGGCAAGGACATAACATATAAATTCAATGTGGTTCAATGACCCTTTAATATACATATTATATACAAATAACTAGATAGTATTGACTATCTGTTGATTGATAAAGTACTTACTATTAGCTATATCTATTTGGTACCTACGCGTCGATAAACAAGGTAGATATAAGGAAAATTATATCTTCCATTTTCCTGTTTGTTGACGAAATACGATTTCTTTGATATGTATTATTTTTTATAATAAAATTAATAGGTACTTTTTATTTCAGACTTAGTTTCTGCTTGCTTTGTCAGCGTAGAACAATGTTTTGCACAGATTTTTTAATGTTCCAATTTCCACAACATATACCAACTCTATAATTATGTTGTCCATATTTATTAGCTATACAAGAAAAAAGTTTCATTTAAAACCGTTCATTCGTTACGGATATTAGCGTGTGCAAATTAAGAAACACAAACATAAATTTCATTATTTTTATTAATTTATCTCTATTGCTGTTTCCTTATCACTTTATTTACGTTATATTGAAACATATTGTTTTATTCTGTGTATAGATAAGACAAGATTTATATGGCGATCTTGTTGAAACGCAGTTGTGACTTTTAGTACTTATGCGTGTTATTGAACTTCTAAGAAATACTCCGAAAATGAACTATACAGATCAATAGTTTGGTATAACTAAACGCATTAACAGAATAAAAGCTAAGGATATGGCATGTGTAAGTTTAAATTCTGCTTATCGTAATAATTAAAACACGATTTATATATCAATATTGGTCAGGGGCAGGGGCCATAGTATTTCCATAGTTTTCATCCACTAGTGCATAGCAACCCATACCCATAACCCTATCAATTTTTACCACATTTCACAATAGTCCTGCATCAACCGGTGATTGTCCTTGGGTGCACTTTTATAGTGCATACAGGGATAATTGCCGGCTGATGTCCCATCACATTTAGATTAAAATTGTTCAAAGGGCCTCTGCGAGTTGGCTTCGGCCTCTCGTACGCCTTTCAAAAGTCCGGAACCCTGTGGTCCCGTGAAAGGTAAGAAAAACACGATTTAACAGTAGTTTTTGAAAACACAGCAGTGAGTATAAAAAACATTGTCACTGCACGAGTCATATTAGAACATCAGTCAATCCTATCCTACTGCTACGCAAAGGATGGAGGACGCATACACGAAGAGAGTATGAGCACCACCACACTGACTAAAGATAGATTGACGATTTAAAACTTAGAAACCATAAGTGTGAGAGAGCCATACTTGAGCACGAATGGGCCAGCTTGAGCGAAGCCTTTCACAGCGTAATATTTCGATAGCCTTTCACAGCGTAATATTTCGGCGTGTGATTGAGAAACGCCCAATCCTTCCTTTCCCCCACCCCTACCCAATCCCTAAAAATAAGGCCACGCACTTGCTTGCTACTGTAATAACACCTTCCAAACTTTATCATTAGGTAATGTGACTGCTCGGTGGCTCGATGGCTACCATATCACGTACAAAAAAGTTCAAGTTACCTCACAATACATGAGTCAATACAATAAAATGAATATACACAGTCAATTGAAGAGAATTTACTCAATGTTAGGCAATTGACCACGATTCATGAATCAACGGTAGGTAGCCATACTCGACACATTGTTCAGACAAAGATTATTATAGACTTTTAGAGTGAGTCATTCAAAAGGAATTCCTGTTAGGTATTATATTTCTATCACTACTTTTGAAGGACATTGTGAGTATGTTAATATGTTAATATTTTTTTATGAGATATGTTAGCAAACGAGCAAACGTATTACCCGATGGAAAGCAATCAGCGCCGTCCATGGACATCCTCAGCAACGGAGGAGTGACAAGTGCGTTGTAGACGTTTTGGGTATTAGAGATTTGGAGATTTTGAGATAGGGGAGGGATTGGAGGAGGGGAAGGATTGGGCTTCTGGTAACCTTACTCACATGGCGAAAAACAACGCTGTGGTTGTTTCACGCCAGTTTTATGTGAGGCAGTGGTATCACTTCTGTCGAGCCGACCCATTCGTGCCGAAGTATGGCTCTCTCACGCTTTTTGGTATGTAGATAGGAGATACCCGGGATTAACACAAAATCTGCTTTCTATCAACATACCACGCGGGTGAAGTCGCAGGCGGAAGCTAGTAGGTAAATAGTGTTGTACCAACCTCAGTCTGCATTTTATCGACAGCGTTAGTGACGGTGGTATCAAGTGCGTAGTTGGATAGGAAGGTGTTATTCAACTCGGCGCGTAGCTCGTCCTCCACAGCAACCTCGTAATAGTACGCCAGCCCGCCGGCACCCACCTCTAGCAGGAACGTTATCAGCAGGAAATATGTGTACTGAAAATAGGACATTATAATATTATCGTTTAATTTTTATGTGTGTTTAGTTTTGTATGCTGAAGTGTAGTTACGATTGTTTAAGAGTTATATAACCTTTGTCCACACTTACGCTAGCGAAATGTTTGTTTTTATAATTTACGTTACCACAACCCCGGTTCTCAAGATACAGGCATAACCTAGTTTAGAGACCACTAATATTATAATAATGTACCGGCACTCATAGTTACAATAGTTTATAATGTAAGTTACTTCGATAAGGACCTAATGTAGGTACCTAATTGTAACAAGTGGACCAATAAAATTATTTCTTATTTCTTACTAATAAATTGCTATTGGGGTTGCAATTTTTAATCGATTGTCGCCGCAAGGATTTTACTACGATAGTGATGTTTGGTTTAGAATAGTATTTTGCAATCACCAATAGCATGGGAGTCTCATGCCTAACTTGAGGCTTGTTCACCAAAGGGAAATGTAACAAACCTCCTTTTTAGGTTATGTACCTACACATAGAAAGAGCGGACAGAAAAAGTACTTATATTTACGAGACTTACGTCATGATTAGAACACAGTATTCCGCCAGCCCTGTTACACCTAATTGTAATACACCAGTCGGATAAACCTATGACGCTGATAAATAATAATAGTAAAGGTTATAAAAATAATACTCACGCATAACAAACTGGTTCTGTTCTCAGTCTTGAGGCCGCAGCAGCCTAGAGCGCATAGGGGGACGCCCATAGCCCCGGCTATGATAAGCAGGTAGGCTATAGCCGGGTATGTCGGCGTCGGTAGCAGAGACACGTATCGATGTCGATAGGTCACGGTCCACGCCCCCACGCCCAACACTCCGGCCCCTGCAAACTGAGTCACCAAAATATCAATAGATATAATACTAGATAGTATACGTTATCATTCGTTTATTATGATTTCTTCGTACTCTGATTCATTTAATGTTATTTATCTACGTAACATAATTAATTACATGTGTTTGTACAGGTGACGCTACAAAAATGATCGTAAAACCAATTAATTGAAGAAACACGGGCGTGCTAATACGCGATGAATGTCTAGAAATTACTTTCTGCTATTCGCTGTACCGATTGGTTGAATTCTCCTAGTAATACCTAGTTCCCTCTCGACGCCCGGTAATATATCAGTAATATAATAGGCTTAGATTAGGAAATTGTGTGTATATTTAAAAAAAAACTTGAGAGAAGCTAGTTTTACACTATGCTTATATAAAAGAGTCCCATTGCGGCTTGAAACTACTTTTCTCAATTAATTCAAACGAGTAAGTTGCGGTAAAAAGGTACCTAATGCATTTCAATTGTTTATTTACCTAATTGTTGTGTTTTATAATATTGTTTTTTTTTTTATATTACTGTTTAGACGTAGCTTACATCGTTGTGGTTATAAGTTCATACGACTATTACTTTTCTATTTCTATTTTTAGTGTCAAAATATTGATTTTGTAACTTGACGTCCTACGTGGACGGAGCGTAAGTTGCGTAGGGTGCCCTTCAGCCATGTTTTTTATGAGATATAGGGCAGCAAACGATTACACTGCTCACGTGATGGTAAGCAATTGGTACCGCGCATGGACACCCAGTTCTTGTAAGCTAGACATTGGAACTCTAACGTTTATACAACGATTTTCTTATACATCGGTCAGGTCGGCCCATTCGTGCCGAAGCATGACTCTCCTCCTAAGGGTGGAAGACACAAACTTATGGAGCGATGTTATCAATGAATATGATATCAATGAGGAGCCTTTGTCTAGTAGAAAAAAGGGCAGATGAAATTGAATTAAAACTATAGGTTGCCGGCTCATTATCAAACCGTATTACAAAAATATTTTGTAGGTGCGTTGTCGCTCTTGTTATCACAGCGATAAGGTTGAAAGTGTTTGGTGGATTAATCAATTATGTACACTTACCTATATCAATTTGTTTTTACATACCCATATCTCCAAAATCATTTAATTATAATTGAACATCTGACATCATTCACTAAAGTACTTTCAAGCGTAACTTATTAATGCTTGCAAATGTGATGTTTTTTTATAGTTTTCCTGATTATTCTACACCTGATTTGGTTAACAACAACTTAAAGATTTTAGCGTGAACATCGGGTAGAAGATAAATGATGATAAACATACGAAGATAGAGTGCGCTTGTTAAACAAGAAAGGGCTACTCATAATTTAATAAGGGACCTTTACGGTGCTAGTTTTAACCTAGATTCCTACAAATTAATAATAAGCATACAATAATAGCAACATTTTCCGGAATTAACTGAATCATTGGTAGGAAGCCCTTCAATGGTTTTAATACTACTAATGACGCAAAAGATAAGAGGCAACAGTTGTATAGGACTGTCATGGTAAGCGCAAAATTAAAAAAAAAAACAAAAGACCGAGATCCAGGCCCAATCTTCTGTTTTTTTTCTGTTTTGTATTGAAATAGAAGATTCCTTATGAACAGACCAAAGCGATATTGCACTGTTGGGCTATGGGCCTGGCAATCTCCAAACTTTGCAGCCTGTTTGGAGATCGGAATTTAAAAAAGTACCAGAAACTAAATTAAATGTGTAGTGACTGTTGTAGGTACTCTATTTACTTTGCTATCACCACACGGCAAAGAACATAGAAACGAGAACACGGATATAGAAGTAGTTTGAGGAAAATTGTCAAAAACATATTTTTTTAAATTATTGAATGAAATATTGTTGCCTGTGTGATAGATAAGAGTAATTTTAATTCTAATATCGACTTCCAAATGTGTACGAGTGTGGAAATTTCGTTTTTTTTTTCCATAATCAAAAATAACACGGTATCATCATTTTATACTTTTAGAAACACCGTCTCTTATAGTCGGTCCCTCATGTCTGATGATCATGGTCAGCATCGGGGTGTAACATCTGGAGCGGATGATCTGCCTCCATCGGTTTCGATCCAGCGCATCTTCAGCAGAAACATCGTAAGTACCAGGAATTCCCGTCTGATTAAAAACTGTTTTGATTTGATTATATGGGTGAAGCATTATTAGCTTGGTTGCAATATAGTAACACACTCTACCTAGGTCTAGATTCTGTGCCACGGAAACTCCGCTGCTGGTTGACTGACTTGAGCTCACATTTTATAAGATTATTAACCACACGATTAAAATCGTGTTGGAGTTGGATTCCTGATGGAGCGGATAGAGGGGCACATATAATTCAATATAAACCTAGTTTCAACAATATTATGTGTAGGTACTTTGGAAAACATTAAACCTACAACAATGCTTTGTTCGACCAGAGACCTTTTGCTCGGAGTCCAAGTCGCACTTGCGAGTATTGGACCAATATTGCAAAATAATTTCTAGTAATGTCAGTCATAATAACATTTAAGTGTGGGAGAGCGAGAGCCAAGCTTCGGTGGTGGGGTGGCTCCACTGGACTGATACCACGGCAGAATAGAACAACTACATCATGAAACAACCACAGCGTTAGTTTGCGCCGTGTGGGTGAGGTTACCGGAGGCCAAACCTTCCCCTATCCCCATCCCTCTCCTTAAATATTCGACACCCTTATCCCCAAAAAGCCGGAACTCGCACTCGTAACTTCTTTAGTTTTGCGGGCTACAAATCCTGTACGTGCAGTACATGGACACGATTACAGCTTGCTGACTAACCGATTTATCTTCGTAAAGCTTAAACGAATTAATTAAATAAACACTACCACCGCAGAATTAATCATCATAGTACCTTGTTGGTCTATTTTGTCGTTTGACCTTGAAAAGATTTTGACGTAAGTTCTCCAACGGCTACGTAATCCGACTAAAGTCGGTTTGGGCCTAAGTATTACGTAATCCGTTTACAAGAGACATGAATATGGGAGCTGAATATCGACCATTTTAATCTAGGAAGAATAGTAAAACTACGACAATGTTACAGAATTTTGGCTAAGTGTAAGTACGGCGCGGACTATTTTCGAAGAATAAAAAATACTTTAGAAAAAATACAGCCTTTTTTTTTTCTGCCTATCTATGAAACATCAGTCTGTTGTAAAAGCATGTCAGTAATGGATAATCGAAGCGGATAGATTCAAATAAATTATTTTAATATTAGGATTATTTTTTATTTGTGTTCATTACAAAGCGCAGGCGCAACGAACGTATTAAAAAATATCGATAAAAAATATGAAATTACTTATGCCTTAAAGTTATTATACTTATTTACCGAATGTCTATATCTGAACATCATATTAGAATGATCTCTCTATTTGGGGTTTATCACTGGTTTTCCCTTGGTCGTAATTGGTTTAAACGCGTAATTTATGTAAACAAATAAAATATGAAAAATAAATGCTCCTACTATACATGACTGGTGCGTTTTAATTTTCCTTACCTACCAGAGACAAACTAATTAGCCGTGTGATTATTTACAGTGAAAAGTCACGGTACAATGTTGAATAATAGACTGCGGGGGCAAAATTGTATGCACCATGACTATAAGGCGAAACGAAAAAACAACCGTAACGAAAATGAAAGTCAAGCGGTCGTGCGTCTTTCATTATAGGTGCTTTCTTTATAATTTTCTTTCATTTGTCAAATTTTGTTAATAGCTTTAATTTTAAATGTTCCACATATCTACGTGATTGCATGGAGTCTAGTATTGTGGCTAGTACAAAAAGTTCGCTTGCGATTAAAATAATTTTTTTTTTAGCTTTCTTATGTAGTTTTTAGTGCCATTTTCGGTATACGTAAACTACGGCTCTGGGGTCAAGAATGAAATACAAGAAGTCTGTCTATCTTTTACTGTGTGCAGATTTTCGTTCTAAAGTGCCTAATCTAATGTAGAAAAGTAGGAAAGACACCGTAATCCCTAGTTTGTTACTTGTTACTCACAGAGTAAACAAGATAAGAGCCACACTTATGAATTTGTTCTCCTAACTATTAAGAAACTGATAGTTAATCTCGTGGGACGAGATAAAAACATTTTGTTTTATATTATCTAAGAAGAGCTATTTCTGAGATGTAGTAGCTTCTTTCAATTTAGATTAGACGAACAATTGTTACTTATTTGTTATCCATCAATTATTTATTTATAGTTTTATTAGGTAGGTCCCTACTAATCCGTTGAACTTCGTACTTGAACAAAATTTTATTTTTTGTCGATTACTTACAACCTTTTTTTTAAGTCTTGAGTTCGGTAATCAAATGGAAAAAACCGATTATAATAACCGGTACTATTATTTTCAACTTCTCGATTTATAAATCGACTTATTTTATCTGGGGACGCGGGGCAAGCGCAATAAGGTTCCGCGGCCTCTGCCTGGAGCAGGAGAAGGAACGGGGAGGTTTTTAGTCTGTAAGAGTCTGACATTCTCTCTAGACCCCTGGGCGAGAAATCATTTGATGATTTTCCCTCCACAAAAATAGTTGTTTAGGCTCCTGATTGTACTGTGCCCTATTTAGTCTAAATGCCTTACCTAGGTCGGGAGAAGTCATTTCGTTAGTAAATATATTTGTAATAAATTGTAAACTTACCAGAAACACCACATTGAAGATATGTAGGACGCACTTCAAGAAGTTCACGCTACAGCAGTCTGCATCTCTCGACTTGCGTGGCTTCACTTTTTTCTTTTTGGCCAGCAACGCACTTGCATCCTTTTTCTTCTCTTCAGCCATTCTTAAGCAAGCTCAGTCACGCGCTAGTATTTTTCACCTAATTTCTCTTATTTTCATTTCGTTTCCAATCCTGAAAATGTAAAGACACCCAAATTAGTTTTGAGAATATAATATAAATTAATTTCAGAAGAACTGTGATATACTTACAATTTTAAAACATTTATCGATAGCCGATAAGGTTTATGGTCAAAAAACACAGAAAACGAATTACATTGTTTATTTATTTAATTAAATTCCTAAAATAGCTTATAAAAGTGGAATATAGTACAACACTTATTCTAAATAATTATACAACAAAACGTCTCAAAATAATTGATCCACAGTTAGTAAATTTAATAAAATAAAACTATGTATACATAAAAAATTGTATTATGACATTGTAAGAGTGCAAAAATATATACAGGAAAATCGAGTTTGTAAAAGTTTAAGGAATAATGATTAACATCATTACAGTTTCATTCAGTCCCTTAGTTCATCACAATGTAAATTCATTCTATGCAACCTTATTTTCAATACTGCCTTATAATCCTTGGGATTACATGAATTTGAATACACAATTACAGAATACATTTTATTATATTAAAATAAATACCAATTTTTTTTTAATGTAGATTACACAAGTAGAAAGCAGGAGAGACCACACTGCCTGGCAATATATTTCATATTAAACTAGTTTATGTAACTGTCTTAAGCAAAAGCTAATTATTTCCACCTAGTAATATTATCATGCTTTTCCCTTGAAGGCAAGATGTGTGAGAAACAGCAGGAGTCACTGCAGTCTCTTTCTACTAGAATGTACAAATATATTTTAAGTGATTACTCAAGTTTTTGATTCATTCATTATTTATTAGTACTTTAAACACACTTTTATCAGATTTGATAAATCAATGCACCTAATCCTTATTATTTTTCTGAGTAGCTATCTGACATTTGTATCATATTATTAATGAGGAAAAGGCAAGTAATCACATCCCTATCCACTGTCAGATTGTTTAAGCTTACCCTGGCACTATGTAACACAAATAATTCTCTGTAAAGAGTTCTGTGATGGTTCTAGTTGCAAGCTATTAGTTACTTATCAAATCCTTGGCTCATTTCCTTATTCGTCATAATATTTTAGAGTAGTTTCTAGCTTCTCAACCACTCTTTTGTAAAAAGTGACTTGCTGCCTTAAGAATTTCTGCATTGTTGCATTCAGGTCTTTTGTTCTCTCGGCCTTGAAGTGATTAATTTCGGCAAGAAGTGAATAAGACACAACATCGGTTCTTCGTATTACTTCATTAAGTTGTGCTACTTCCATCTTGTTCTCAGCTGTCAGTCTCTCGCACTCGCGCTTTTTCTGCATTGCACTCTTGTGTGTGTTCAGAACATCAGGGAAACCTCCCACAACTCCTTTGTATAGATGAAATTTGTCACCTAATGGTTCCCAATCATATTTTGGTTGGTCATCATACATTCTGCCAATGTCAATGTATGCACTACCAGTCATTTTGATTGCAGTTGTTAGTTTTGAGGTTGACGCTAGTGATCCTTCATCTAAACTTAGTGAGGCAGCCAGGCTACAAAAAGCTTCACCAACTTTTTGGCAATCTGCCTTGTAGGAGGTTTGAAGTTTCTTGGTGTGAGCCATACACATGTTAGCAACTGACTTGACGGAAGTGTCCATACTGTTGATGAACATATGGCATTGCTCAGCAATATGGTCCACTTGGGACTGCAATAAAGCTTTTTCAGGTACTACTATTGATATGCAATAATTTAGACCTAATAAGGCATCTCTTTCAGCTTGCCGTTTACCGGCTTTCCATCTCTTTTCATCAGTACAAGTGAGAAAATGTTGCCATACTTCACATTTGGATAGAACTGGATGCCTGCACATCCAGTCTACAAATTCCTGAAGTTGTACTCTTCTACGTTCTATTAGTTGTTCATCATATCTGCCAGAGATCTGCTTGTCTGGCAATGGTGGAATTGGTATAAGTGTAAATTTTTCTTGTAATCTTTCATGCAGCCAATCAAAGTGCTTGTATCTTCTAGAGACTTGAATGTTATTGAATGATGGTGTCAATTGATAAGCAATAAAACTTTTGATGCCTTTGAACTTGGATTCTTTCTTTGGAGAGGCCACAGTGACGGTATATGGCTGTGTTATAGGCCACCATTCATATCTATCTTCTTCTTGAACTATGTAAACTTTTTCAGAGTCTGGTACCTCTACATTTAATGTGGCAAGAAGGTAACTCTCACCACTAACCTTTGATGAAGGTGCAAACTTACTCTTTCTCACAGTTCCCACAGATGATCCATAGTTAGAAGCTGTATCTTCATTCTGGTGGTTATAGTCACTAATGGGCATACCTGGTAAGGGGGCTAGCTGCTGGTTGTATTGAGTTTTATTTTGTTGCTGGACTGGTCCTATTTCAGAGTATGTATCATCATCCCAATCGTCATCCCAGCCTTCTTCATGGGAGGTGCCTCTTTGAAAGTTGCTGTCACCAGCACTAAATTGTTGATCACCCCAATCATCATTAGCTTGGTCATACCTGGGAGCTGCTGGTGCCGCTTTAGTCTGAACAGATTCCTCAGGTGCCAGTTTGCGTACATAAGCAGCAGGAAATAAACCAGTCTCGCCTTTAGAGTTTCTTCCTTCCCACCAGCCTTCGCCAATTTCTGTATTAATTAATGTTAATATTTCTCCGCATGTTATAGACATCTCTGTGGTATTGGGCTCCCCTGAGAAGTCATACAGAGCTTGTACTTGGGTCGTCATTTTGGGACCCCTCACCTAAAACAATTTCAAAGATTAAATTAAGCCAACACTGTCTACAAAGATAGATTGAAACATAAAGTACTAACAACACACTATCTTATCATTGTTATCAACAAAAGTAGGGAGTATGCACATATTATGTGATAATATCAATTCTCAAGCGAATACTGTTCTCATTATTATTAATACTCGCTTGTACGATTTAGGGCGTCGCACACTGCAAGGCGCTGACACATATTCCTAATAGCCCCTAATTAAGCATAGTTGAAACCTAATTGCCCAATGTGCGACGCGTGAATTTGGTACGTTACAACAGATTTTTGAAGAAAATTTGACAAATATTGCAATATATCACTTCCTATTGTGCTAAAATACAATAACATTACAATAGTTGACAATATTCAACGTAGGAATACCTGTTTTCAACAGGCAGACAAAAGTAGTACGACGTAATGAGCTAGTTTTAGCATGATAATATATCATGTGCTATTTTTTTACAAAGTATTTGAAAGAAATTACAGAAATAGTGCAATATATTGTAAAATCTCTTGGTTTTGTGATGGAAATCAAACCAATGACGTCAATTTTCGAGAGCGTGTATCGAGGAGTATTCAAAGAAAACTTTATCTTTTTCACAGAGAAAAATGCACAAATATCACAATTACACTAACGAACCACTTGTTATTACAGTACAAAAATAATTCTACTTACTTGAATCACTTTAAAACAATTATTTCAAGGCGGATACACCGATTGAACAGTCATCTGTTTGACAGATCACAAAGAATTTGTTTTTCGTTACACCTTGTTCTCGTTTACGTGGCAAAGCAACTATAATAATATGTCATTGTATTGGTTCATATTGTAACATGTTAATAACAACCAATAGGAATGGAGTATAACGTTTTATCTGCAGTGCAATCCGCAACAAGACATTGCCAACCAATGGTAAAACAGGTTTTGTGAGTAGTAGAACCGAAACGTGTCTTGTAGTTGTCGTTTCGTTCTCTTTATTGAGTTATTCATGGCTGCGGTGAGATGGCGCTGTTAACAACACAAATATATCAAGATGTACGGAGGCTTAATATTTTTTTTTAACTTTAATGGTAGGTTTAAAATTACTGTTTCTTGAATTTTAAGTAAATTAAAAAAAAAAACGAGGTGACAAGACATGACCTGCACTCTGGGTTGATTTAAAGGCAAAGGTTAGTTAGTCACTTGAACCTTATCTTACATTTTAGTAAACAGTAACCTAGCTATGTTTCACCAAGTTTTTACCCGACTGCCAAAGAAGGAGGGTAATGTTTTTCGAGTGTATGTAAGTATGTATGTATGTCTTTTCCTTTGTGACCTCCTGTAGCCTAAACGGCTTGATGGATTTTGATGTATGAGGTATCGTTAGATTTGTCTTGATTACGGGAGTGTCATAGGATACATTTTATCCTAAAAGTCCCACGGGATAAAGACATAATAATATTTTTTCTAAATTTCCCTTTAAAAAAATATGTATGCGGTATCATTAGATTCATTTCAATCACGGGAGTAATTAATATAGGATACGTTTTTTCTCAAAATTCCCACGGGAACATGTTAATTCTGCGTCAACGCAAAGCAACTCATGCGTTAGCAAGCAAAAAGATAGGGCGTGGCCTGGCATGCGGCGCGCGGCGCGGTGCGGAGGGGGATATGCTCGAGTATACAGCCCGAATGCGGGCACACGCATAAGGGCACACGTCGTTGACGGTCGTCTCTAAATAGCGATTTTTCGTTAAATAAAAACAGCTAAAAAGTTATAAATAAAAAAATTATTATTAAAAAAACAAAATACCCGACTGCACACTAAAAAAAGAGTAAAACAAGCCCCACAATACAAATTTACTGAATATAATTTATAAATGTTGATGGAAAGCATCGCAGGCGGGGACCACCTTGACCGCCACCAACGAAAATTCTGCTAAATGGTGCACAACAGAAATGACTATAAATAAGCCTCTGTTGGTCCCCGCCTGCGATGCTTTCCATCAACATTTATAAATTATATTCAGTAAATTTGTATTGTGGGGCTTGTTTTACTCTTTTTTTAGTGTGCAGTCGGGTATTTTGTTTTTTTAATAATATTTTTTTTACTTTAGGTAAAATGTATGCACATAGTCGCGAAAATACCGCTTTTAATACTAAGTAGTTAGGCTTGGGCATTGAGTAGAATGTAGATAGGTACTAGACACCTACTTAGGCTTACCTAGGTAGGTACCTATTTTCAGCTTGGTGAAATTTTCCTGCCAATAATACAGGCTTCAATAGCTGTTTATACTTCGTAGAAATTAATAAGTTGTCGAGCGGAAAGTCTCACTTGTTCTCCCTATCATGTGAGACATTTTTTCAGGATATAGCGACATAGCTTAGGATTGTAACCAGTAGCCTATTTAATTAATCTTGATACTAAACGAAAGGTTCTCGATTCCATTCCTAGTTCAAACAAAATGTCAAGTTATTATTGCATAATAGTGTCTACGGAGTCTGAAATTGTCTATCTTTATTCTTTACTTAACTACATATTTTTTTGAAAGTGGAAAATCATCAAATGGCTTCTCCCGTCCCGGGTAGGGCGAGAGGGAGTGTCAGAATCTTATTTACTAAGAAGAACACCCCGT